TTTTTTGTTTGTTTGTTTTTTTTTTTTTTTTTTTTTTTTGTTTGTTTTTTTGTTTGTTTTTTTGAAGGGTCCATATTAGTGTGTTGGTTAAGTTTCTATATTTAGTTAGTTGGAAAGTTTTTATTCCAGTTCAGGTCCCGCGCGTGTATTTGTCTCGCGCCAGATTGTGACGTCACGTGACGAAGCTTTATAATAGCGAAAACTTAGCATTTGTATTTCTTTTTAGGTGGAGACGTTAAACAGACAACACGTATAGCGACGGAATACACACAATGTATTTCTTTTGTCATTGTAGGTAATTGCCGTTTTGATCACAGTTCACGAGCAGTGCAGGCTTTGGATTCAATTGATCCTGTATAACTTTAAAACAAGTTTATCGATTATTTTCATACAATATACATTTTTCATCAGCAATTTGTAAAACAGATTTGTATTTTAATCTAGGAGCAGATATTTTATTGTAGGATTTCACGGAGATTTACGGAGCTAGCAAGCGATTTTTACGGCATTTCTTTTCTTTACGGAAATTCTTGGGAGGTAGCTGCACCAAGTTGTTCTATGAAGATGTAATACATGTATACCCTGCTGACTGCAAATTTTGAGGTCAATTGGACATGTTGTTTCAGAGTTGATCAGATAACAAGCATGTGGATTTTTTTTCAGAAGAGATGTAAATACAATATAAAAAAACAATTCTTCAGGGAACAATTGAAGGCCTTTCCACCTCGATATCAAAGAATGAAATTTAAAAAAACGGTGTTAGAAAATGTCACTCTTGGTTCATGTAATTTGTTACTTCAAACTGATATTAAAAAATAAGAATTCTAGATACTTTTTCATAGGATTAGTCTAAAAAATGGCTACTTCCGGTTAAATAAGGTCATTTCCGGTTGACCTAATAAATTGGGAAATGTCTACAACCAAATGCAGAATTCTTAATTGTTTTATAAAGAACCAGTACGAATTTTTAGCAAAAGTCAAAATCTAGAACGTCAAGTTGACCTTTGACCTTGACCTCAATTTCAAAACCATAGGTCAGTGATCTCAAATCGAAAGAAACCATGTCATTCACTTGTATGATTGCAGAATAATCTGATTTTAAATTCAAAAGGGGATAAAACTCCTATAAGGGTTGACCAAAAAACTTTGACTTAAACGGGTCGAAGTTGCGCCCTATTGTAAACTATTATTTGGCAAAAACATCATATCATTAACTGTTACTGTTTCTTTTGAACAAAGATAGCAAGCAAAATTCAAAATTTAGAATATGACCTTGACCTTTGACCTTGACCTCAATTTCCTCCTAATGGACCAAGGATTTCATAACAAAAGACTGTAGGCCTCTATAACTTATAATGTATGAATTTATCCAACATATCACCTATGTTAAATTTTCAAAGGGAAATAACTACCATAAGATGTCATTCGATCACATCAGTTAAACTTAAGCAAACCATTCCTAAGAGTAGACGAACAATTTGGCGAAAACAGTTTGTTAAAATCTTTTATGGTTTCAGAGAAATAAAGATAACAAGAAACAATCTTTTCGATCCAAATGTAACGAAGAACCAGGGTCTGGTCCTGAACAAATTTCACCCTTCGCTTTTTTTCTACCTATAACGGTTACGGTGTTTGAATAATAACAAGGTTTTTAGGTTTCGGAGGGATTACTCCGGACCGACAAAATGTTTCGACTCACAGGGTGAGTTCCGAATAGGTATTTGTGACACCGATACAAAGTATGAACCTGAAAGCGACACGTCTTACGGTTAAGGCCGCTCACTTCGTCAAAGTTTGGCGGAAAAAGAATAATTATAATAATAATCAGATGAAATACAGTAAGGTCTTTCCCTTTTGGAAAAGGAAAGACCTTAATAAGCGTATAATGCATAGGAAAGCTCTAAAACACACACATAACCCTTGAAATATGGTAAAAAACACATAATTCGGAATTTGGGACATGACCTTTACTTTTGACCTTATAACCTTTGCCAAGGTCATTGGTCCACGATGTCATAACAAAAGACTCCATGGGTCTAGGACCTTTGATTCGTGAGTTAAAGCTAATTTTGTCTTTTCTAAATCAGTTAAAAGGGGTTATGCCCCTTACGGATAGGTCAAATCACTTCGGTCAAATTTTAAAAAGTTGTGCCTTATTGACCTTAACATTTTTCACTATTTACTGTTTCTGTTAGTATAATCATTTTTGAGATATCCAATAAAAAGTTTTAAGGTCAAAGGTCAAGGTCAACCTTAAAAAGCTTCAAAACACACTGAAAATCCTTTAAATAAGGGTAAAAACACACAATTTGTGGGACATGCCCTTGACCTTTGACCTTGTGACCATTGTCAAGGTCATTAGTCACCAATGTCATTGTTGAAGACCCAATGGGTCTAGGTTTTTTTCCTAAACCTAAAACAGGGGTTATGCCCCTTACAGAAAGGTCAAATTTCTTCGGTCAAAATGTAACAAAGTTGCGCATTAATGACCCAAACATTTTCCACTATTCAACACTTCTGTAAGTATTAAGGTTGCTGAGATTATCCCATAACAAGGTGTTAGGTCAAAGGTCAAGGTCAACAAATAAATTTGACCTTGAGGAATTTTTCAAAGTCACATGAATTGATGATGATTGGTGAAGATCCTAGGTGTCTACGACTTACGGTTTCTGATATTTGGTGGCCAACTGACTGCGGTTAATTTTCATAGGGGCATAACCCTGCCACTGAGTCCTTGAATCTTTTCGATCCAAATGTAACGAAAAACCAGGGTCTGGTCCTGAACAAATTTCACCCTTTGATTTTTTTCTACCTATAACTGTTACAGTGTTTGAATGATAACAAGGTTTTTAGGTTCCGTAGGGATTACTCCGGACCGACAAAATGTTTCGACTCACAGGGTGAGTTCCGGAGAGGTATTTATGACACCGATACAAAGTGTGAACCTGAAAGCGACATGGCTAACGGTTACGGAGGGAAATTTTATCAAAGTTTGGCAGAACAAAAAGAATAATAATAATAATAATAATAATAGTAATAATAATAATTATAATAATAATCAGAAGAAACACAGTAAGGTTTTTCCCTTTTGGAAAAGGAAAGACCTTAATAATAAACAGATGAAATACAGTAAGGTCTTTCCCTTTTGGAAAAGGAAAGACCTTAATAATAAACAGATGAAACACAGTAAGGTTTTTCCCTTTTGGAAAAGGAAAGACCTTAATAATAATATTCAGAAGAAGAAATACAGTAAGGTCATTCCCTTTTGGAAAAAGGAAAGACCTTAATAATAATAATAATAATAATAATAATAATAATAATAATCAGAAGAAATACAGTAAGGTCATTCCCTTTTGGAAAAGGAAAGACCTTCATGATAATAAACAGAAGAAATACTGTAAGGTCTTTCCCTTTTGGAAAAGGAAAGACCTTAATGATAATAATAATAATCAGAAGAAGAATTACAGTAAGGGTTTCCCTTTTGGAAAAGAAAAGACCTTAATAAACGGAAGAAATACAGTAAGGTCTTTCCCTTTTGGAAAAGAAAAGACCTTAATAAACGGAAGAAATACAGTAAGGTCTCTCCCTTTTGGAAAAAGAAAAGACCTTAATAATAATAATGATAATAATAATAATAATAACAATACTAATAATAATAATAATAATAATAATAATAATAATAATGATAGTAATAATAATAATAATAATTATTATTACATCACTACAACTAGACATTTGCGGAAACTATGTCTCTACCTAGGATTACACTTACAGTTGATGAAAAACAAGTGGTCATATCAAAATTTGAATTAAAAAAATAAGAACAATAGAGATACATAGTAAAACCAAATAAATTGTTTATTATGTAAATATGTCTTCTGGAGTTTTCGAACAATCTGATATCTTGTATAATGTGTTAACTGGATGTTCGGATATATTTTGTCGCCCAACAAAAATAGCAGAGAACCGAACGCTTTCCCCGAAATTTCATTAGAGGAAACTACAAACGGTCCACTTGAAAATCACAGTAACTATTGTGATAAGCAAGGTACGCAATATTATTTTTACCCGACACAGCGCAGTGCAGTGCATTTGAAATATTGTTTTTAGGATGTCGTTATTCTTTTTCACTATTAAACCTTTGCATCCGCAACTGCTCCCTAACCGACTTAAATATTGTGTAATTGTGTTTCGCTTGATATACCTTTGCCCATTTTATCTCATTCAATCAACGGAATTGCGGATAAACTGTGTGTTGACATGGGCACGTCAATAGTGCACTTTATAGTACAATTACGAGAAGATTGTATCAGGAGTCGCTGGTCATGCTTCGAACATACCAGACTCATTCGCAAGACTGCACACAAAGGAAAACAACTTCGAACACGGATATCATTTTGTTTTTATTTGAAAAGAAATATAGTAAAATTCCAAGTACTTGAGCACACCAATTCTTACAATTCAACAGATACTGACGAATAGTTTAAAATATATATTTTCGACATAAAGATCATCATCATCATCATCATCATCATCATCATCATCATCATCATCATCATCATCACCATCATTATCATCATCATCATCATCATTATCATCATCATCATCATCATCATCATCATCATCATTATCATCATCATCATTATCATCATCGTCTGAAATATTATGACTTATATTTATAGTTTTAACAAAGTTTGAAATGAAAGATTACATGAGTGGATTTTGAGAAAAGGGAAATAACCGGGGTAATTTGTCTGGACAAGCTTATGATCTATATGTTTTACTAGTTCTAGATATGTTTTCGGATATGATGTGCAGCGTTAAAAAAAACAACATCGATTCGTCATTATATATCATTTACACTATTCCGCTATCATGACTTAACAGATTCAATATAGTGTGTGTGTAATATGAATCAGACAGTGGATAAATTTTGTTATAAAATACACGTACAGTTAATTAATCTATTTAATGTCAATAACGTTTTATGATTTATATAGATTTGCATATCCCTCAAAGAACAGAACATTACAGACCGTTGTCCAGACTGATCCATATCCATTAGGAATAGCTGTTGATTCAACCAATGAGCATATCTACTGGGTTGCTCCTGCTTATACTAACGCACTTTCAAGATGTAATCTAGATGGAAGCAATTTGACTTTGTTAACTACTCTTAGTGTTCCATATGTGGTACGACTTGATGTTATAAACAGGTATTAAGTTTTATGTTAATAAGAATTGAGAAAGTATGACTGAATGTTGTAACCCGACCAATACAGCTGTCTTTTTAAGTCAGAAATTACTCAAGAAATTAATAGCTTAATGAATTCTTAACTAAATATATATTAATGGTTATAACGTTATATTTTGTGCTATGACATCAAACCATTTAACAATAATTGTCCTCCTATGTCCATATAAGGCATAGCATATAAGGAACCAAATCAGACACGGAGTGGTTGCGTTGTGATACATCCAAATGAAGTGTTCTTCTTGTAAAAGACAATAACAAACGTTAATTATAGGATCTATTTGGCAAATAAAGCAAAATTAAATTGTGACAAAAGCATTTCGATATAACAAAAACCAAATTAAAGTTTCATTGTTACAAGGAACCCTCTAATTGAATAGTTCTTACATGTTATTTCCAACTTCTCTCAACCTAAGAGGTGCACTCGACTCCAATCTTAATTGACTAGGATTTTCAGTTTTCCTATCGAAGGTCGGTGGTTTTCTCCGGGCATTCCGACTTCCTCCACCAATAAAAACTGGCCGCCACGAAATAGCCCAAAAGCGGTGCTTTAAAGTGGCGTTAAAACACCAAAAAACCTAAATCAAATCTCAACCTAAGAATGTCAATGCTGTATATCTAAAAGTAATAAACGATCATACAATTCATCGTCTATCACAAACAATAAAGTGAATACTATAAAATAGTATTACTACGTTGATTTAAATAGGTGAATACGCAGATTTCCATTTGAATTATACGATATCTTGTTAATATGTTTCTGCAAATACACAAATATGTGGATAGCTCTTTCGAACCGTATATGCAAAACAATAACCATATACGATGATATTGTATGTTTGCAAATTATAACAAAACTCAAAATGAAACGTTCAAATGCAATACGTTTGTAACGATAATTTTCATTGGACGTTGACAAATATTTTGATGTGATAAATTTCGCGTTCTACCAGTCCGTAACTAAGAAAGTCACCATGTTTAATTCCGATTTGTTTTTATATGTATTTTCTCACATAATAAACATGAAAGTCACATTTTGAGCCTCAAAATGTTCTTTTTGTCAACATTGAAACCATTCTGAAGCGTATGAAAGTTCAAAATACATCTAAAGGTTTATGTTTGCCATGCGAGTATATTTGTGATGTCACATTGTTTAGTTGCTAAAGACAATTTAACAGTTTCGCAGAATTTTTTTCATTTTTGTCTTTTTACGCCAAAATATTTGTTAAATGGTATTTATTTAAATGTGCTGCATTAGAATGGAGATAATTGTATTGTATTTTAAGCTTGGCCTTCGTAAACTTGATTTTAATGTCGCAAATATCCGTTCACCTAGCGACGCGTATATTTTCTCATTTAGAGGTCACCATACGACCTCCTGGTAATTATATGACAACGGTCACAATACTGTCTATCTGTTTTTTAAATCTATAAAAAGAAGATTAATCCTGAGTTAAAAGTAAACCTGTTCCATCTTTGATAAACTGTTGCTTTTGATGATGATGTTAAAGTGTAAAAAAGGAGATGTGGTATGATAGCTAATGAAACAACTTTTCATTCAGGAATGCAGTAAAAGATGTAAACTACTTCATTCGACTACAGAAGCATTCTGAGCAGGTCCTAATTCTGCAAGTAAGTAACTCAAGTAGCAGAAAATTAAAATAATCAACAATGACAAATATACATATAATGCACAACAAGTAATTAATATGTTTTTAGAATATGTAATTGCGACCAAGTTGATTACACATTATTGGGTAAATAATGTCTTCGTAGAGGTCAGCGTTTATCGCGGAGTTCGTTTTACATACACATTTTAATATTTATTTGTATCCGTACAAGCCGTGCATATACTTAATTGACTGATCGATTGCTGACTGTCACGGTAACTCTCACATAGCAAGTTTTACGTATCTGACGGATTATGTGTGTCATATATCACCGATTGTTCAAACATCTGTCACCGATCATTCACCGATCAGTCAAGCTCACGTCAAATAGTAACGTATATGGTTTCAATTACTGAAAAAGAGGCTTTTACTGGCATTAGGCTGACACATTTTTTTAATCATTGAAAAGAGAAAAAACAATGGTCTGACAACATCTAACGTCATGCAATTATGTGAAACAGTCGACAACCACTTGATTTCAGGCACATACATATTGTGGTTTGATATAATATGTTTTGACTATTTAACGTTTCACTAACATCTGACATTCCGTAAACAACACAACACCAGAACATATTGAAAAAATTTTTTATAGGGTTTGACCTACCGGATCAACAATAAGCCAGCAATAAAATTACTGATGTATACGAGACGTGCATTTAATTCAATGAATCAACAATTTACCACTAGGACTTCCAGTTTTTGAATGATTACTTGATTGATTGTTGGTGTTTTAACGCCACTTTTAAGCGCCACTTTTGGACTACTTCGTTGTGGTCAGTTTTTATGGGTGGAGGAAGCCGGAATGCCCAGGGGGAAAACCACCGACCTTCGATAGGAAAACTGACAAACCTAGTCAATTAAGACTTTAGTCGAGTACACCCGCACAAGCGGGATTTAAACTCACATCCTCAGTGTTGACTAGCTAGTGATTACAGTAGTTGAACTACTTAGACCACTTGGCCACCGAGGCCCCAGTTTTTGAATGCTTCACTAATATCACTTGTGAAGAGATTTTTATAAAAAAAAATGTGTCGGAGTCCTTAATATGCTGCAAATTTTCTTGTTGTTCATTGTTTTAGCAGTAAAACTTCCTGATACACTGAAATTTAACAGTAACAGAGTAAACGTGTATGTGTTCTATCTTAGTTACGAATATACATTTTATTAATCCCAATTTGACTCCTTCGTCCAAACTAAAATATAATGTTTAATACCAAATGGCTCATCCTGCATTATTAATGTACCAGATCACATGTTTCTGATATCAGTTCAAGAATTTACAGGTGAACCAGAGGAATGTAAACATATTATCATAGTGTCAGATCTCTCAAGATTCTGCTTGAATATTATGTATACAAATCAGACATGACATTATATTGAATTGTCAAAGTAATACAGATAATTTTTAGAATCCTATAATATAAAAACGAATGACTTTTGTTTGGTCATAGATATTTTTCTATTTTACATATTAAAAACATTCTCAATATTAAAATAAAAGAGTTAAACCAGTAATATTTATCAGTTTAGCTTGACTTTGAACAGGCTTTTATTACCTGCCAATTATGTTGAATCAGTAATGTGTATATAGATTAGAAATGTCGGTCGTTGTGTGTTTTGTGTCACTCTTCTGTTTATGTTTGTTCCTATGTTCTACTATAACACATTCGTTTCGTATAAGGGCGAGAGTTGATCGCCTGCAAAACACATTTGGGCCAAACCTATCCTCCAAGTGCCTATTCAAAATAGAGAACCCTTATTTAGAAGTTGTCGTTAGTTTACTGTCTGTCGTATGTATTTCTGTAATTAAATACACCGCCGATGTATGTTAAAAGCTATTACGTACTTGGATCAAATACGGTTACAACACTTTCTGAATTAAAAAAACTATGTAGTTACAACTTTACTAGACGTGGTACATATCGACGCTAAATGAAACTTAAATATATAAACGCGTATGAAGATGTCCATCTTTTTTCAAGTATACGATTTAATGTACTCTGTTGTATAATACGGTAATTCTGTTTACGTTTCATTATACAATGCAGTATGAACACAGTAAAACAAGATCAGGTTTGATTTAATCCAATGTTTTATCGTTTGTAAACCTGGATACAAAACGTTACCACCCATGTCATCATTTACAAATAAATCTACTGTGCCCACCTTCCACAAAGACGTCATCATTTTGCCAGAAAGCCGATTGATAAATGATTATTATGGAAACAAATTAAAATCAAAACAGAATTACCACATATTGCCATTCTTGTTAATTGTTTGATACAAATCGATTCGCAGGTTTTCACAATATAAAAATATTGAATCATTTCATCAAACGCCATCCTCACTAGTACGGTGATCGAGTAAGGAAAAGTTTAATTGTGATTTGGACTATACGTCTATACATCACAGTATTACTGTGGATTCATTTATTTTCGTGGGTATCAATTTTCGTGGATTGAGGAAAACTTACACTTTCGTGGATATTTAATTTCGTGGTTAAGCTAAAGTCTGCATACACCCCCAATGGAAAATTTGTAATTTGTTGAACATTTAAATTCGTGGTTCACCTGTACCCAAGAAATCCACGAAAATTGGTATCCAACGAAAAATAATGAATCCACAGTAGTAGATCCACGATTAGACTTTACATATTGGCTTGTCGTCAAAATATTGAACGGTACAAATTTTGGTAAAAAGGGCTTTTAACATGTTTAAGTAAGTTAGCTTACTTTAAAAAGAAAAATTTACATTGAAAAGTGTTTAGGTCTGCATTGTTCAAGATCATTCGTAATATGCTTTCTGTTATTATATAAATTGTTGTTACACCTTATGTTAACGATTTCAAATAAAGTTTAGCCAAGATTATTCGTTATTGAAGATTTTTAGTAAAAGTTTAGTACTACGAATATTTACATTTAATAGAGTACGTTTCAATTCAATTCCATAATTGATGTTTTCGCTAAATGTAAAATAATCGACATCTATTTAATATTCCATACCTTAATCAAACAATCAATTCAGATTTTGAAAAATGTATCGTTTGTCAGAGAAGTAGCAATGAAATGACTGATAAAAGTAAATATAGCTTCTTTTGTCAGTTGAAAGTCGTAATGATGGAATCATTTGTACTTGAAAATAAAAAAAATATGAGAAGTTCTCTTCTTGGAAAAGTATACTGTTAGTACATTATGTCGGTTGATTATTTTGTTGGTAGGTAAACATCAAGTGGCAAATATTTCATAATAATAAATAACCTTTCTATCAGCCTTCTACTTAAAAAAAACAGTTTTTTTTCTTTTTTGATAGCTGCATGTGATCACAAGAGTGTAAATTTATACCCATTGTTTAAAGTATATAAGAAAGGTCATGTCTAATATGAAAAGTCTTAAACACGGTAATCCGTCATTAGCAGATCTGTCATCAGGTCTGGTCAGAAGCAGACCTGTCCACATGTATGGTCAGGAGCAGACTTGTTCACAGGTGTGGTCTGATGCAGACGTGTCAATAGGTCTGAAACAGTCCAAATAAAACAGGCATCAGTTCTGGTCTACCAACGACGAAGTTAACTTGCGTGTCTGCTTAGAATTTCTCAAGTTAACTTGGAAAACAGTCAACAAGTCTGCTCCAAGTTAAGTTTTGTACAGGTTAGGATTGCACTCATCTGCATCATAAAAGATTTTGCCCGCTCAATTCCAGTTTTTTTTCAATAAAAAATGTTCCATGCACAATAGATCATGGACACGCTTTAGTTCTCAAAAGGTATTAAAATATAAAAAGGATAAAAAGACATTTATAAAAAAAAATATAAAATCCTTGTTATTTTTTGATACTCTTTGAAAACAAAAACATGTCAATGATAAAGATATGAAAATTGAAGAGAGAACATAAGATGTTGTACCCGCTAAAATATCATTGGCTAATGTCTAGAAAAACAACCACACGGATCTTTGTTATTTTTTTGCTCTTTTTGCTCCTTTATCAATCCCCTATCAATACATAACAGGTTATTGAACAGATTGCAATTTTTAAACTGAGAAGCGAACCTTATGCTTCTTCTATTTTTTAGCTTTTATATTTATTACATGTATATATATATTCAAATAGACGATCAACGGTACAGATATCGGTGATTTCTTAGTCGATGACCAGTGGCAGAACCAGAATTGTTTGAATAGAGGGGATGGTGAAACATGTTTTGATTCCATAAGCAGGGGGCTCGTACAAAATTTTGTTAAAACTCACTGTTAGTTTTAAAGACGTCATTGCATTGGTAGCATTAAACTGGCACACGTTTCTCGCTTGAATAGACTATCGGACGGGTAATTTAGGAACCATATTCAATTACTATTCGCCAATAATCTTAATATTAAATTATCTTTACAACCGTTAAATTTCTAGTCCGGGGTGCAGTCGGGGAAAAAAGGAAATTTGTATTGTTCCTTCCGGCTGCACTTCTTGGAAACCGCAAAACATTTCCCAGGATAAAGTTTAGACATTCAAACTTATTATGCTTAACTTTATAATTATATATCGCGCAACACAAAGTGAACAACATAATGAAATTTATATACAACATCATGGACGCAAGAACTTACTATCAGGTAATAATTAAAATTTCATTAGAACTATCATTTGTTTTGTGTTGCATGTTTTGGCTGTTTTTTTGCGTCTTTTCAATTTGTTTTTGGTTGTTTTTAGTTTTTATATTGCTTTTGTACTATATAGTAACACAGTCATAGTTCATTTGATTACTCGCCAATATGTTCACGGGGTAGAGGAAGCTTTATACATATGTCCTGCTGTAATGGGTCCCTTTGTATAAGTCAAATATATCATTCGGTTGCTATTTCACCAAGGTAATATGACAGGTCAGTAACACAATAAATTCTTTTGATCTCCTTAATTTATGATAACTGTAAATGTATATATCTTTGATGCTTTTAATTTTAATCGATAGTACATAATGTAATAGGTGTTTGCACATAACGTAATAATTGTTTGTCATTAACGTAATATGTGTTTGCAGGTAACATAATATGTATTTGCACATAACCTAAAAGGTGTTTGCACATAACCTATAAGGTGTTTGCACATAACGTTATACGTGTTTGCACATACCGCATAGGCATTTTGCTCTTCACGGTATAAGTGTTTGCACATTATGTTTTAGGCATCAATACAGAACGTCATAGGTGTTTGCACATTATGGAATATGTGTTTACACATATCGTTCCATTAGATTTACATGACATCTTGAAATGACAGGACGTAAATACAAAGCGACAAAACACATTGAATATTTACACTATAAGACAGTTTTATATATAACCATTGATGTACATATATACCTTAATAAAAGTGACATTTTCATCACTTTGGACCAAAAAACCCCCCAAAAGCATCTATTGTGGATCAAACTTATTTTCAAATCTTACGATTGTTCATTCAGGTCAGAATTTTGATATCCTTTGAATGTGATAAATGAAACCACTGTTACTAGATTTAAAGTCTAAAGCAATAATATAATCTTCAAAAATGACATATATTGTTTGAACTTAGCATCAGTGTTGTAAAACTGTGTAAGCACATGGTATTACAATGTAAAATTACCGTATTGCCCTCTTTGCAGCAACATTAAGCTTTACGTTATTTCTATTGTATATTGAATGAACACGTTATCAAGCAATAACCTATATAAAATGATTCAATTAAATGGGACAATCTTTGGTAGGCTATATGTAGCCTTTTTATGTTTGTAACAGGTTTTGAATTTCCAAATTTCTGGTTTCGAGCATCATTAAACAGACAGTAATTATCAAAACCGTATCTGTAGCCGTAAAATCGGTACCATTTTATTAATTTTAGTAACAAATGCACAGTTTGAAATGTTATAAATGCTTGACTTTTGCAATCAAATTTCTTGAATATGAACGAAAACAACAAAACAACAATAAAGAATACAATTATCATAACTAATTATGCTCTTTTTGTTAAAAATCCTTGATATATACTATAAAAAGTAATGCAGATTTCTTACATTGATCTCAATCAGAAATATTATTTATTTCTACGACCCTATTTCAAATATAATTAAACGAATCATGTACATGCAACATCTTCTTTTATTCAAATATGCCTAATGAACTATTTGTTTTTGAACATATATATACATTTGTATAGATCGAACATTGTTGGGCTGTTATTAAGACGAATTATTTATACATAATGTGATTTCAACCTTGAATCACCATCACTTTTGATCCGATGAATACAGTCTGTCGTAGAGTTGTCACTTATTTTCACGTTCTTATACTATGATTATTTCTGTGACTGCATCCTACCTTAATTTTTAAAATCCTCTACAACAGATGATCCAACTAATCTGTACTATTCCATCTTTATGCCTTATTTATCATGTACTGTGTTTCGACGCTAGATAAAAACTGACGAGGAAAGATAACACCCGGCCACCGAAGGCTTGACTTTTGTCGAGCCTAGGTGGTCGAGTGGTCTTATGGGCCGGGCACAGTGCAAGGCGATTTAATGCCACCATATATCAGTAGCACGAGTTCGAATTCCGGCCAGGAAAGAACAAAAAGTTAATTCTACAAATTAACAGATCTAGCATAGTCGGGCTGTTATTTAGACGAATTAATTACACCCATGCTAAGTTATGCTTCTGTTTTGCTGTTCGTGATATTTTAAGCGATATTCTTGTCCAGTCCAAACTAAATTTGGAATACAATGTCTTTTTTAGAGGATACACCTTGTTTTATGATTTAACATTCACAATTGATGTCAGTAGGTGTGATATTGCAATGTCAAATTTAAGCTCCTTCCCGTTTATCCATTTCGATAAATCTTTTTGGCTATACATCCTTTGTTGTAGTCAAACCAGCTACTATGCACAACCTGTAAATCGGTTTATAGTTAAACATTATATTATATTACGTATTTTAGTGGTCATCAAATGTTTTTTTTTTATCATATTCTTCGTGTACTATCGTCTGCCTCTCTCGTAATTGTGTAAGCATTAAGTAACAACAAGCCAATACACGAACGCAAAATGAACATGACACATTACCATTTAAAAGTTGTCACATTTCCAATTTTTTTTCAGATGGATGTATATTGTTAAAGCGTATATCGGGGTAATGAAGTTAAGATTTGATTTAGCTGACCAGCAGATGATCGTTAACATTACTTCATCAACAATCATCCATTGCATGGGTATAGGTATTTATCTGTGCTAATGTTGCTTAAATGTCAGAATTTCTAATTGTCTTCAATTAAGACACTGTCTATGTATCCATCTATGATCATTCGATCTGTATATATATTTGTATAATTATGTTCACTTAAATATGTACATTCAATTAAGGTAGAAGCCGTTGTGTATATGAAATTAAATCCATTAAACAGGATACAATATACAAGAGGGATATGCTAGCTGTGCTTATGAGAGAAAAAAAGCCGTGTTAAAAAATAGTGTAAGGAGATAATGATATCAGTAGTTCTTTACATCATGCACATTACTGTAGAAAAACTTTATTGGGGTTTCTGAAATAGAAATAGAATATCTAATTCGTTTTGAGACAGAAACATTCATTTCATCCGTTTATTAGACTGAAACACCAAAAATTGTCGTGGACGCACTTTTTAAGTTTCGAAACAAATAATATGAAGTTTTTTTTAACTTATCACTACAATATTGGAAAATGATGTGAGATGAATTTAGTAATGCAAACCTTTTCATAACACTTTTAAAACAAGCCAGATTTAATTCATTCGTATGCAGGATTTTGAAAATCAAATTGATCCACACTGTATTTAATACAATACTTTGACCTACGTCTATGAATATTCGTTTTCCGTGTTACATGTACATGTATCATAATTACGTGATCTCTTCGTGCCAGTTCTTAACTTTTTACATTCATGCATACATCAAATTACTTAATAATCTTATTTTCTATGGAATAACAGCCACGTACTTTTTAATAGGGGGAGGGTAAACAAATAATCTTGATTTTCAGCTTGATTTTTTTTTTATTTTGCCATTTAAAAGAAACTAGTTTTGAATAGTTCAATTCGTTCAAAACTGTTGAATAATAATTAGCTTTTTGCGATAATATGTGATGATAAAAAAATGGAAAGCAAACATAGCATCCATCTTCAATAAACTGAGTTAGTAACATGACAATTGACTTGAAATCCTTTTGAACAGTTACTAGGCAGTAACACTATTAATGTTTGTCTTGCTTCGTGCAGAAAAAGTAATATTTTTATTATACCTGGATAATGATTTTATATAAAGTTAACATCTAGATTTATAAGTTAGTTTTATTTCACATTACCAAAGAGCCATAGGGTGTATTAAAATCTAAACGCGTTACAAAAGCATATCAAAATTTAGTTTGGTCGGTATAATAGGTTGCAAATGTAGCAGAGAATTATTTTTTTTGGCGGTATACAGTTCAGATAATGCATATTTTCATGTGTTTTTAGTTGTCAAGGTTGCCAAACGAAAGACCTCCCTACGTTCGGTCATCCATTTAATCAATCATGACACCCCTTTGTTTGTTTTACGATAAGACACATCTTAATATGCAGTATCTATAATATATAACATTTTCAATTTAAAAGTTAAAATACTGGCCCAATACTTTTGTTTGTATCAATTTGTCCAAATAGCTGATAACGTTTTGAATTTGCAAGTGTGATGTTTTTTTATTTATTGATCAGATATGACTAAGTCATTTAATCAACACAACAAGTAAGCGAACTGTTTTACTCGGTGATAACAAAACTCATTAAGTTAATAGTATTATCTAAAAAAGGTTTTGGGCTAATAGAAAAAAGAATAGAAAACACGATATAGTTATGTTATGTTTCATGTTCTTGCTTTTCGAGCAGTTAGGAAATTTACAAAAAGGACCAGTACAACGTGTACGACCTCAAAAGCTGACGGTGAATTGAATAACTATTAACTTTGAAAATATTGATGCGCTGTCAATTTACGATAAATAATACACTTTATGAACATATGTGGTTTCTTGTAATATCTGTTTTGTTGTTAATCTGGGTACTTGAACATTTAATTAAACGAGCCCTTTTTTAGTGATCATGGTTTAATGCTCTGTAATGTCATATACTAGGAATGAAATATTTAGGTGAGGATATGACCCCTGAAATTTAATTGGCTGACCTGTTTGTAAGAATAATCAATTGGATCATGAAAATATATGATTGTTGCCATGAAAATCAATGTAGTGATGAGTCCATGATGTGTTTGGTTCAGACACAAACAATCTATTTTAAATATGCTCTTAGTTCGTACTTCAACGATAAATAGAAAACCCATATGCTGATTGAACCAATGATCCGACATGGTTTAGTGCACAACAGTTGAGGAACTTAGTGATTATGTTATATAGATACAATGGATAAGCGTGGATTCTTGAAAAAGAAACCATGAGCCCGGAGGGCGAATGGTTTGTTTTTCATGAATCTACGCTTATCCATTGTATCTATAACTTAAACTATTGTGTTAATTTCTTTTCAAAATTAAAGCCTTTTCTTAATTAGAAGGTATTGTAAGTGAGTTTAAATAACCATGTTATCGTGTCCAACGATGCAATGATAAATCTCAGATCACAATTAATTGGTTAACAAAAAAATACAAATATAACACTTCTACCTTTAAAGAATTTTATATTACCAGGCATATGAATATTATCTGTTTATACAAAATAAGACATATTCGAAATTATTTCTAATAAAATTGAAAATGGAAATGGGGAACGTGCCAAAGAGACAACAACCCGACCAAAAAGCATATATAAAGTATATATAATAAGTATGTTATCGAAATTTTTCTAGCAATCTAGGCACATCACGATTTTCTCGCATAGGAATTTGCGAACAAACCTTTGTAAAATTATGTAGTAAAACAAATGAAATCATACTATATTTATAAAACAAAAATTGACAAATAGAATGTAATCATTTTTGTTTCAAACATGTGAAATAGCCAATAATAATAAAAAAAAAAAACGGTAAAACTCGCTATTATTACAAAAATATCCACTATAACTTGCAAAATTAGAAAAAAAACTAGGATAACTTAAGAATTGGTACAACAAAGAGAATACAGGGATTCGAACCTAAACCGACAAATCCCGATCTTTAACTCATTGATTTTAACCATGCTAACCTCGCGGCAACCAACTCATACTATACGACTGCCTATTGTGTCTATATAAAGGTACAAGCCCTGTGTGTCCGATGAACCGATGTATATCAGATGTTCATTTAAATATATATAATAAACATCTATAGTGTAACCCATTGGTAGCCGAGAGGTTTCGTCGGTGTGTTGTCAGTCACACATAACAGATTTCAAGGAAGGGTTCGATTCCCAGTGAAGGCATATAAAAATTACAAAAATTAAAGATAAGTTTTTAAATTAATTCCATTAGTGAACAGAAATCAGTAAATTAGCCTATTCAAACTTAATGAAATTAGGCACACAAAGGAAACAATTGAATATAATTTGGTGAGTCAATTTCAGCGGCAGATTTAGGAAGCGTTGATTCTAGAAAAAGAATCCACGGTAAATGAATAGGCTGACGTCACCACAATGGTTTAAGCTTATAGATATCATTTTATTCTGGTATCACCTAAGTTGAACAGTGATATACAGAAAACCGTATTATTCTACATTACATTGCGTTGTACATTTGTTGAGGAAGCATACATATGAGTTACATAATAACGGTACCATGAGCAATATAGCCGACATGTTAACATCACTTAAATTCCATTAGTAAATGATAGCTTCGTGGGTAGCGGTTCAAAATTTACCAATAGTTGTACTCCAAGATTTTTGGGAAACAATGTTAATACTAATGAATTCAGGCCTCTTGTCTGTCGGCAACTTCACCTTGTATAGACATATGAGGATACATCCCTATATTATAAATGGTATATGAATATTTGATACCATATATAATGGTTATTTAATGACTGTATCGGTATACAGTCCATATTTGTTCAAAATTGGCTAACGGATTGTTTCATTTGCTTTAGTGTAATTAATTTAAAATTTTCGGATTTACAATGATTTACTGACAAAAGCATGTCTAATGTTAGAGTGATCGTGAGTAACTAGTTTATAGTTCCAATAATGTAATGGTTCAAACGGAACTCCGAATTTGTTAAAAGAAAATACTAAAAACAATTTCACCAAGTCTCTAAGTCTCTATACCTCTACGAGCGCTTGTTCTATAATCATTATCCTAATAAGAACATTTCAAGTACGTAAATCCAATTCATATTTGTAAATGGTCAGGCATTACAACGTGAGTGTCGTATATATATATATATATATATATATATATATATATGAACTTCGGAGAGTGCCCTGAACGTCACATTATAAACTCTCTGTTGAGGTTTGGTCTTTTACGTTTATCAGGGTACAGAATATGTGTAATGCTGATCAGATATATTAACGTCTTACAACAAAATTAATTGAATTTGTGAAATTTCTTTGTTCATGATATTGATCTGTTCACTTATGGTTCTTCTGAGGAATTTAATCGTAATGTAACACCACATTTTTTAAAAGTAACTGTAATACACTCATCTATTATATTTGTGAGAATGACTTCAAATTGTTCCACAATTGTATTTCCAAATATTGTAGACACTGAAGAAAGCAGAGTATATTGGTTTGAAGGAAATGGTGAATTGATTTCAGCTAAAGACGATGGTTCTGATATAAACACTATCATCTCAACAAATACAGGTGGGAACAACTTTGGACTTCGTGTATCTGGTAGCTACATATATTATGCTGGTAACAAACAGTTGTTAATGGTAAATAAAACACCAGGATCCACGCCAACTGTTCTTTATAACGAAACCAGCAGGATTGAAAGTATTTTTGTGTTTAATCAGTCAGGTATGTAAATAATTATTTCTAAAAAATGTTTTACAAAAAGCCATTACATGAAGAGACTTATTTTATCATATAATATTTATTATATAGTATTTAATTATGATGCAACCATATCAAGAATTGCATACATTTATAATTATCTTACATTTTCCTAGTCTTTTAAACACGAATATATGCTTTGTAGGTGGATGTATTATGGTAGAGATCGATGTGACATCTCATACATCTACGTTAATGGATTTTCACAATTCGTTACTTCCAATTTTCGATTAATAATTGTGAAATGTCATTATTTGAAATTTAGTATGCATGTGAAAACGGTAATGCAGGTAGTCAATAATTTCAAGAGAATCATCTGCATGATCTGGTGACCTTCAATTGTTATCAAATACATATAGGCAATTAAACATCAATAAATAATATTAACATGGTTAATGGTATTGTTATACATGTTATATATAACGTATTTTGTATATGCTGTTACCCAAATGGAATTAGAATGAATTTCGATATCGAGGCACATCTTTTTTTTTTAAGTATTTGTTTTTCTTTGTCAAATTATTCGTTCAAAAACTGAGAGTAAAAAGTGTATTCACAGTCTGTATTTAATTTCATTATATGAGTACTAACGTATGGATGCATTTTGTAATTTAGAGATGTTTCGATTATATGTAATAAACGTAAACAAAAACAAAAACATCTCAAAATCATACTCTACAAAGGAATGCATTTGAATGAAGTAATCCGTTAATCATTTGTTTACAGTCATAACTTAAAAAAAGACTGGTAGTTAGAATGAAAATTGAAGAGAATCATACAATTATTTAAAATCATTACATTTTATATGATATTTTGAAAGACATCTTTTGATTTATTATTTTCCGACATGTGATTATGTCGTTTATTTCGATTGTTGTTTTTTTATTTTTCATATATTTAGCTTTTTTATTTAGTATATACATGTCTTGTTGTTCTGACTAACCAAAAGTAGTTTTATCCTAACGTAGGCTTCAATGCAATCCATGCACTTTGCTTATTCATTGTTTATATTTTATAAGTTACAATACAATTTGTATTCTATAAGTTTTGTATTGGCTTCACTGATAAAATGTATTCATATTGATATATGTTGTTGTTGAATAAAATACATAGTGTTATTTCTACAATCTCTTTCATTTATTTTCTTTTTTTTTTTAAATTCCATTAAATAATGTCATGTATCTGTTTTTCAAACATTGACAACAAATTTAAATTAGCAAGTAACTTATTTTTTTACGACTGAAATTGCTATTAATGAAATTATAAGACACACTCACCAGGTATGTAATTGTACCCTAAGTTTTAATGTGGTATCATTTTAAAAAATATACTACTTTGTCCCTTAGTATTAAAATTCATACATGTGGTTTCATATTTAACTGAGACAACTCGTTAATATTGTTAAATTGAATAGCAATTTCATGATTATGTTCATAAAATCCTGTTGTTCGAAAAAATTGATTTTGTTTTATCTACTTTAAAGAAATGGACTTTTTTGCTAAGCCGTGAAATACGCAAAGAAATGAAAATTAAAAAAAAATAAACTCTAGGAGTACATCAATACTTTTATTATTCATTTTTCATTTTAATACATCTCATCTGAGTGTGATGCAGCACCGTCAGTACCAGATTGACGTAAAGAACATAGAAACTGAAACATAACATGGACATAGATCATAGAAGTAAACTAAACACTGGTAAATTGTGTTTTAATAAGTTCTTTGGTAGTCCTGTTTTTTTGTGATTTTTATCAACATGCTAACATTTTTTCTTATCAAATTCTATAATTCTATAATTCTATAAACAAAAACCGGTCAACACAATAACACGTAAAACAAACTTTTGACTAAAAAAACTTGAGGCATTAAAGTCGTGTCATCCGGAAATGTTAAACTGACATGTTTTTAATTGCGTTTGGTTTGTAGTCAATCCAATGTTGTACCTTTCACATTGTTTCGACCATATGCATCGTTTGATAACTAAAAACGGATATTGTGTAGTAACTCGTATCACCTGAACTGAACGTTGAACGATTTACGGTATTTGTATTCAAAAACCCGATGGCTAATTTATGTTGCAAATTATTTGTGATTATAATACTGCCAATTTTGCTCAAATCATTATTATGTTTGTTTTCAATCTTTGTGCTTGCTATTTACACCAATTCGGGTATTCAGAATCTAGAAAGATTGATAAACGATATCATTGGGCCTTTTTCTGACTCACATTTCCAAATTATCTACAGGTATTTCCGGTTCATTTCAAAAGATATATCATTCTTATACTGTGCATTATTATTATTCGTTGGATACCAATGTTCGTAGTTTTCGTGGATAGAGGCGAACCAATTATTCGAATGTTCCATGTGTTACATATGTTATATAGGCTTGTTTGCAGAGATTGGCAAAACCACGAAATCAATGATCCACGAAAATGTATGTTTTCCTAAATCCACGAAAATTCATATCCATGAAAATAAAATTATCTATAGTATTTTTGTACTTTGCTGTTTGAATTCCTCCGTTTATAACAGTCACTTACGTTAAATTGTAAGACGGCAGGATTTCATAGAAAGATTAGTAATATCTTCAGTATTAGTAAACTATTTACCATACACAAATGATGTAGTATGAGTTTAAATGACATAACTCTCCATTGACGACCAACTAACTAAGAAGTAGACAAGTTATAGGTCACATGCATGTATGGCCGTTGACAATGAGCAAATCCCGTACTGCATAATAAGATATAAAAGCCGAAAAATTACAAATGAAAAACGAATGAAAGAAAAAAACTGACGATTTATACATTTTATATACAAAATAATAAACAAAACCAAATATGATATACAGTATCAAACGATTACTAAATACCGGTTCCTGACTTGGGATTTTCAAATGCAGAATGTGGAGTAGGACATGTACCTTTTCTGAATGTACCTGTAATTCTATAAACTATCATAAACAAAATGCAATCTAAACTCCGCACATATCCTTTATACTTGACATTATGACGTTTTGTTACTAATTGTTGTTCTATTTTCTCAATTTTTTAAAAATCTAAACCTACTGGTTTCGCTTGACTAAAAACTAGAGTAATGATCGTGTCATTGTAAATCATATATGTTTTTTTTTTTAATTTTAGGTCAATCTGAGTCGTAAAAAAACTGCAAAAAGTAGTGTCAAATCCAACAAGTTTTACTTTGTCAACGAGAGACAGTTCAACTAGTTAAAATTGACTGAATTAATATGCAGAAAAAAAAGTTACCGAAAGTGTTCAAACTGAAAAAAAGAAAAAAACGTTTAATTGAACAGAAGTGAACTTAGAATTTTACAATCAATAACGTATGGATAGTAAACCCATAACCTTTCAGTAGATTGAGATTTCAATATCATGAATATTGCGTCCAGATTCATAATATGTATTAAACATGACATTTCCTGACTTATTGACGAGATTGGAACATCGGTTAACTAATGTAGTCTTAATTCATCATCAAATGGTTAGAATATCTACGGACAGTGTGTTTCCTTGATGATTTACAAGCCCGGTCACTTATGCACTTCAAATATTAGAAGAAGAACCGATAAACGTCATGGATGAAATTGAATAAATGAGGTGTAGTCAAGGTCACAACAATTCCGAGAGAGAAAGAAAGAATGCCCTAGGATTGTTTAAAAACGATGCAATTAAACAAACTTTTTTGGTTTTCGAATTTCTCTTTATACTGCAGAAAATCAGACAAGTTTATGTATAGTCGTCCAAGTGCTATACAACTTCCAGATAAAATAGATCCCGATATTTGCTAGCCACTTAATCTGCACATACTGAGTAATTATTATTACATGAATACTAATGTTTGAAATAGCTAATGAAACGGCTGTCCATTCACTTAAAATAGTAAATGAAATTATTTGAAAAAAGTGTAGATAGAAAACACAAAGTTCTACACTTTTTTAAAGATTACCATCATCTATTTTAGTTTTCTTTAACAAACGATAGTGTTGATAACATTGAAATCCAATTATACACTAACCTATAATATTTTTTTTTCTTCATCGGTACACATAAGTGTATGTAAGAACGTAATTTAGGATGAACTTCATTTCGTTTTAAAAAGTCCTGTTCTGAAAGATACAAGATCACAATACCAGTCTACTTTAAATTCTTAATTAAAAAAAAATAAAAATCTCCAGATGAGATGAACTTTGTTTGGATTCTTTTATCTGCAGATTTGTTAGCTACTTCAAACTTATCTTATGTATGTCACCCACTGTTTTAAGAAACTCCTAGAAATATCAATGTAGTTTGATAAAAAGAAAAAGAAAAAAGTTGATCAAGAGTTGTGTCTCATAGTCCTATGTCTACAAATTGATTAAGAAATGAATGTTTACCAGGTCACAGTGGCTTCCAAATTACTAAATGTTTTATCAATGACATTTTTTATAATTGTATTACTTTGTTTTTATAGTGTTGTCTGCTCTTTGGTCGGGTTGTTGTCTCTTTGACATATTCCCCATTTCCATTCTCAATTTTATGTTTTTGTTTAAAGGTACTTTTAATCACTATAATCATTCTAATCAATTACTGTGCTTTATTTTGTAATTCATTTTGTTGTAAAGCTCAAATTTTGGGCACCTTGATTGGTTTATAAAATATCTTGTAATTATGATGTATCTTGTATGGTTAACTTATCTTTATGATTATACAACGTATCATAACTGCATTTCTTTTATTAAGTTGTACTCCTCGTTGGTTATCTTCAACAGTGGGAATTTCGAATCGGTTTAAGGAAATGTTAGCAGTAAGTCGATTCTAGAAAACACATATCGTCAAAGATAAATACATTTACAGAATACCAGGAATAAAACATTAGTAAATTACAATAAAATACACTTCTCATAGTCAATTGAACTTCGTGGGTACACAACTTGATTGTGTTATTTGATCACAAATATCGCAGAGGTCCTTGGCATGTCACGTCTAAAATATTTTTCTCTGATTAAATATAATAGACTCTTTTTTTATATTTTGCACTTCTATAGTAAAACATTCATGTTGTCAGGATATCATAGAAGATTAAACATGTCAAAAGTTGCTATATTTTCGTTGTTTGCCTTTAAGTGTGTGTTGTAAAGGATATAAGCCGATAACAGTGCATTCTGTAAAATATTGAACAGGTCTGAGACCGCAGGCGAGGATGGACCTACCGTGTGTGTGGCTGTTCTATGTTACACTTCGTTAGATAAAGCTGAATATTTCCATAAAAACTATAAACTGCATGAAATATTTCTTAAATAACCGCTAAAAATATGTGTGTTTAATTCTTTTAATTTTCAGTTCCCAATATTTGCCCTTTTTAATTTTCATTTATATCTCGTAAACTACCGTCACATTCACATTTGAAATTTCGTAATTAAGAAGCCGCCATGTTGAGATGCTGAAATCTGTAACTTGTTCGAACAATGCAATAGAATAGAAAATGAAGCAAGACGTACCTCAAAACTGAATTTAATTGCAATATTATCCGAGTTTTGCGGATTCACGTGACGAAAGAACATTCAGCTTTAGTGTTTTTATTCGTATGTCGTCATGTTTTGAAATTACCTTAATGCGCCAAAAGCACTAATTGAATTTTGAAGAATTATATTTCATTTTGATTTTGTATATTTTACCGAGCTCAAATGCATGAATTCTATTTGTTTTGCATCGCATAGGTATACAGGTTCTGCATTGCAATTTATACAACTGCGAAATCGGCACAGCGTTTACCATAGGTTGCAATACATGTGGATTTACCTGGGAGGTATATTGTAACAGTCATTGTTATGAACACCTCTGAATCTGCGCTTAGTATAGATATATTGAGAATTTTTGAATATTTTAACAATGCTGTTTACCAATAGAAAAAAATTGTGAGTTCTCCGTTTCGCTAGGGTTTCCAGTCAAACGATGATTCCTTGATACGAATTGTATATCAAAATAACGCTTCTATATACCGGTACTGATAATGTGCTGATATGCCTATCGTAGTTAATTGGAAATGTTATTTCCTATGTTAAACTAAAGAGTTGGATTGGCTGATACATCGCAATAATTTGGTGCATAGGTGATTGTCTAGCTTACGGGATAAAGTCACATGCGTTGTCTCTATATTCAATATCGCCTTGTCGAAATATACTTTTCAAGTTTAAAAACAGTTTCCATATAAGTTGTTGACGAAATAAAAGTTGAAGCGAACACTCGCACCTAAAGATATTGATGAAATAAAAAAAAAAGAATATACATCTTGCAGCGAAACATCTTTTTTTGGGTAAAGCTATAGCTGATTTAAGAAATAAAGACGTGATCTACAATTAAATTTTTTTGTAGATTTTGGAAAATTCAATAATTTTGAAGACCTGTTGAAAATATGTAAAACCGAATCAAAAGAACAAATCGCCATTTCCAACAAACGCATGTATGATGAACACCGGGTTGATGTTTTTTTAATAGATTTATAAACAAATTCGATTTTCAAATTCAAAAGGCAGAAACATTACCTTTCCAATTTTCGTTTTATAGACTCCTTTTCCGCCTATAAGTAGGCGTATTTTTAATTGGTATGTTTTGTAAATTTATTCATCGTCAATCAGCATGTCATATACTGAGAAATGGGAAGTTGACAATGGGGAAATAAAGCGCATTCAACACTTTTTTTTCGTTCGTTGAAACCTTTTAACTCGAATATCTGAAATGCAATGAGACATTAATGATTGACGAGCAGTATGCTTATAAAAAAGCTCAAATTCTGTTAATGATACATTTTTCGAACGTTATTGGTTGTCGATGATCGATGGTTCTCTGCGGGTACTCAAGCATTCCAGAGTATTAAAATAATTGGTTGCAATGATAAATGTAATGCCACTGAAAATTAAAAATGTTTTCATAGATAACATCATAATAGGTTAATTTCTATTCATGTTAATGTACAAATGATGTCCCACTTCGTATCGCTACTCAAGACACACCTACCTTGTCGAGGCATATGGCATTTTTCTTTGGTTCAAGAAGGTCCTCTTGGTAATGTTCAATTGGTTTTGTACATTCAATAGGGATTTACGAGATTCGAACCTCAATGAACTAACGTCAACTCTGTGAACAGTCGTGTTTATATCTCACATATCTGATGTTAAGGAAACACAGTCCTGAGGTTCAATAGTAACAGTCGTTGAGATTAATTTTACGGTGGAAAATGCAGTTTCAATTATGACGCATACCCCATCAATTCCATAATATACGGCGACCACTGTTCAACTATATTACTTTTATTCTTAATAAAATGAATTAGATACAAAAACTAAAGTATTAGAAGTTTGAAAAATGTAAGAATTAAAAATAAATTGAAACTCCACGACACAAAATGAATGATAACAGTGGCTATACACCATGACACAGTATGGCTTCATACGTATATATATGTAAAACTGAAGGTGATTTCATTACATTGTGTACACTTCATGCTTCAAAATCGAATAATGTTTTATCACAATCATATTGGTATGAGTTGATTTAAATTGGTTTTTATTGTATTCATCATGAAACATTTGTGTCAGCAAGTATATGTCGGCTTACTCCTTTCTAACGACTAGTCAATTATAGATTCGACAGTGAAAAAGGGTGTTATATACAAAATACATCTGAAGCCATCGTTTGTCAAGGGTAAGAGAGATAGTCTAAATTGAATCATGGCGCATCTCGAATTACAAATTAAGTATAAGTCCGAAATTTACTTTCAATTTAAATTATGTATAAGTGATGTTGCATTCCTGTAAATTGCGAGACGAAGTTAGATACATTTAAGACTTATATTCACTTTATTGAGACACACTTAGATACAGTTTAGACCGTCGAAACGAACTTAAATACACTTTACACTGTCGAGACTAGAAAAGAGACGAAGTGAGATACACTTAAGATTGTCGAGACGAACTTACATACACTTAAGACTGTCGAGACGAACTAATATACACTTTGTCGAAACACACTTGGATATACGTTATACCGTCCAGACGGACTTAAATTCACTTTAGACTGTCGACACGAACTTAGATTCATTTTAAACTGTGATTAATGTAACAATACAAGTTACACTGTAGAATGTTGAAATTATTGAAACAAACTCAGACACAGACTAGAATGTCGAGAATGCACTGTTCGGACCGTCAAGACCGTATCAATCCAAACATATTAATTATTTAGCTAGACTACATAGCGCGAATCATTAAGATGCTTTAAACAGCATTTCAAACAATGTAAACACTTACAAATGTCGATTAATGTGTCAGCCACATGTAGACACCAATTGCAATCTACATACTATACGGTTAATTTAATGAACAAAGCATATATACATAGTTTCATTAAGTATCATTCAACATGTAAAAAAAACCCACACATTATAGGAGAATCTTTGAGATTCTAATTCAAAGAATTAGGATTACGAAACAGATTGTTTGAATTGTCATCAAGTTAAAGCTCTTGAGACTCTCATTACAATAAAAACAACTGTTAACGAAATAAAAAACCTGTTTGTGAAAACATTAACATGCAAACACAGTACATGTTGTTACTGCTTTTTGTTCATCAACCAAGAGCTATAACTCGCAAGTAGGTTCATTATTTGGA